ACTTACTAAACACTTGTGACAGAATATCAAATTTGGTCCACCCCTGGAATCTGTTATTTAGAAATATAATAAGAGAAACATTTTTAAAATATCTTTTTTATTTATGAGTACATTGTAGAAAGTCACCTCTTAAGGGTGCTGTGTGAACTATATGATGTAGTAATTTTGTATGCTTTCTCCAAGTATTCATTCCCACTGACATATGCTTAACTGCTTAGGTATTCCTTTCAGTTATTAGGGGATATTTCCAAAGTGAGGCCTTCTCTGTACTCAAGTTCAGTGGGCTGAGGGTTATGCAATTCTCTTCCTCTGCTGCTGTGCTCCATTCCTATTTTCTCCTCTGGGTATTATTCTGTGTACTAGGTCTTGTGTCCTACATTGGATCTCTACCAGCACAGATGTCCATGAATTTTCAAGGTGAGAAATTCCCACTGATTTTTCTAGAACTCCCAATGGATTGAATCTTCACTCTGCTTTACAAAAGTACAGACATATCCTTCTGCCTGTTTAACTTCATGGAAATACTTTGTCTATGTAGTTCTTTCCTTGGGGGCAGTTCTTTCCCAGGACCTCTGTTCACCAGTTCATCAATCTGTACAACACCAATTGTGGGAACAGCTCACTTTTAATCTGAGACAGTCTTACATCATGGCCCACATCCACCTAAAACCTATGAATGCACAAAATTTTATTCTATATTGAGGTGGACACCAAGAGATTATGTTAGTGAATCGGGGACTACTCAAATGTGGGTATCTTTATGAAAAACTCATGTGAGGAGTTCTACAGCTAAGTGTCACATTAGAACTCAGGAAACAAAGTCCCTCTATCTGAGTGTGTTAATCAGGTGAAGAAAAAAAATTTTATTGAAGTAAAGTTAGAATTCTAAAATAGGAATTAGTAAACAGTCCATTGGCCAAAACTGACCTGTTACCTAATTTGTGGGCCTATAAGTAAGAATGCCTTTTATAATTTTTATGGCTGAAAAATTTAAAGACTATGTGGTAATGCAAAAAATATACAAAATTTAAATTACAGTTCCATAAATAAAATTTTACCAGAACATAGGCATGTTTATTCACTTGAATATTGTCTATGGCAGTTTTTGCATTACAGCCAGAATTAAGTAGCTGTCAAAGAGACTGAATAGCTCCATGCAAAGACAATTATCTGGTTCTACTAAATACTTTGTCACCCTGTGCCTTAGAATATAACATCACAGGATCTGGAGGGAGGTGGTGCAGGCCTGAAATCCCAGTTCTCTGGGAAGCTGAGGCAGAAGGATCACAACAAATTCAAGCCCAGTCTGGGCAATTTAAAGACAGGAAGACCCTGTCTCAAAATTAAAAGGGGAGTGGGGCTAGGGATGTAGCTATGTAGCTCAGTGGAAAGGCCCTGGGTTCACTCACCAGTGCTGTAAAAAATACATGTAAAATCACAACAGCACTTAGGAAACCAAGGGGAAAAGGTGGCAGATGAAAATATATAGCATAACAACTCCCAAACATTATGAATCACATACCTAAGTAATTTCAAAGCCCTCCCTTCTCTTGCAAGCACTTGAGACATAAGGCACATTCATGCAAGACAGAAGTTTATAGGGAAGCTAGAACTGAAAGGTCAGGAAAATTGATAAATGGCTTTACGCCCTACCAGACTTTTTGTTCGTGAATGCCAGTGTTAACACCAGGTTCAGTGGAAAACAGAACTGTTCTGCCTGTATTGGCAAAAAGGTATTCAGCAATTCCTTCATGAGGAGAAAGGAAGCTCACACATCAACTGACAACTTAACTATTAACTATGATACAAGATTGTGTGCGCGTGTGTGTGTGTGTGTGTGTGTGTATCTTTTGTGTTCAGGTAGATCCAGGTTGTCCTGTCAACCTCTCAGAGAAGGATAGGTTTAGCATTCTAGTTTCTGGAGAGAGACACTTTTAAGAAGTTTCTCTTAGCTTTTAACATTCTTTGAGTCTGAAGGAACAGTCACATGAGTAGTCAGGACCTATGAGAAATGCTTAGGCAACAACAAACCAGCAGAAAATGAATAAAAGGCCATAAGGGAACAGGGCATAAGCTTCCCCAAACGGGAGCAGCAATTTTTATGGATCTGCGTCCATTTACCTATATATCATTTCTGTACGTTATGTGGTAAGCCTCCTTTTCTCCTTTGTTTTTTATTTTAATATAAACAAGTAGATATTAATAAAGAAAATATAAAAGCCATTTTATGAAAAAATAATTTTTCATAACAAAAATGATTGGAGAAGTGTGGACATTCTGTGCAAAAAAGGTAAACATATTCTTCCTATAAAAGTCACCAAATTTTGGCAAATAACAGGCAGTGAGATTAGGGGTGTCCCCTAGTTCACAAAGAAAAGGATGTTCAATAAAGTGAGGTATAGATATGAATTCGGCTATTGAGGTTTAACTCATCATGTACCTTCCGTACAGTACTTCGTTAAATACTTTTGGAATGAATAAAAAACCAAATAAGAGAAATGGGATTTAGTGCTATTCAACAAATGATAACTAGCAGACATTTTTGGATCCTTATGCATTTCTAATAATCTAACAAAATGGAGATAATGCAGATAACATCCCTGATATGTTATTAAAACAATTAATTGTCCTTAAAATATTCAGATCATTGAAGGAAATTCAGACAATAAATATAAGGGTCATTGTATGGTGAAAGAAAGTGCTTCAGTTTGAGCTTTCTAGGTCAGAGCAGGGAGAAAACACCCACAGCATGGGAAGTACATTCTTCCTAAAATCCCAGAACTCTGGGAGACTGAGGCAGGAGGTCCATATGTTGACCCCACCCTGGGCAACATAGCATGACCCTGCCTCAAACTATGAAAATAAAAAATGGGCTGGGGATGTGGTTCAGTGGGAAGGCCTTGGGTTCAATTTCTAGTAAAAAAAAAAAAAAGTGAAATAAAGCATTTGTAATTAACCATCATTTGAATATCAATCCACATTTATACTTCCAGTGAAAATGAAATAACAGGAACTATATTTACCACCATAATTGAAACATCTAAAACCTGGAAAAAATATATGAAACAATAGTTTCAGTCATAAAATATCAAGCTGTAAAAAGCAAAGTTATCTAAGGGGAGAAAGTAAGTAACATGCACAGTATGATTGCTCACAACTTACAGTGTATTGCGAGATTATAACATGTAGTAAAAGCTGAAGGTCAATAATAGTAGAAAAGCTAGAAGAAAAGAAATGGAAAGCCCATATTTTTAAGGTTTGTATTCTATACATTAATATAATTCAAAGCAAACCTGATACATGAAAGATGCTATAACCCCTAAAACAACCGTGAAAAAAGGTAAAGCTAATGTGACAATATATGAGATAAAATAGAATCTTCAAAACACTAAATCCAAGAAAAATTTGAGGGAAAAAAGAGAACAAAAAACATTTTAGGCAAGTTCTCTATAATTCGAGCTCTACACAAAAATTCTTTACAAATGTTTATTGAAATCAAATCCAGTAATATATGTGAGATGCAATAGATCAGGTTATGGGCTGGGATGTGACTCAACAGTAAAGCACTTGCAGAGTATGCACTGGGTTCAATTCCCTGCACCACCAAAAAAGTTTCAGAAGAAGAGAAAGAAAGGAGCAAAAGAATATTTGAAGAAATGATGACTGAAAACTTCTCAAACTTGATAGAATATATGAATCTGCACATCGTAGAAAATCAATCTACTTCAACTATAGTGAATGCAAAGAGACACACACTTGAACATTATAATAAAACTATTAGATGCTAAAGACACAGAATTTGTTAGGACAATTCCCTTCTACTCCTAATCTGTGTTGAGTTTTTTTTCCCTTCATTCTGTGAATATGTTCTAATGATTGATCTTTTTACATCTTGAATCAGTCTTGTACCCAGGAATAAAGCCTACATGGCAATGATATATACTCCTTTTCATATGCAGCTTTATTTGATTTACCAGTATTCTGCTGACTGTTTTTGTATCAATATTCATATTAGGCTGCCATAACCAATACCATAATTTGAAGGGTTCTAAAGAACAAAAATACATTTTCTCATAGTTCTGGAGATTGGAAGTACAAAATCAATGTGCAAATAGAGTTGTTGTCTGGGGAGTGTTCTCTCAGGGCACAGATGGCTACTTTCTTTCTATGTGTTCATATGACTTCATTTGTGTACACTGAGGCCAGTGGAGATGGGGATAGAGAAATAGGCAAAAATACTTTGATAAATTTTTTTACGAAGACACTAATCCTATAAAAGCAACTAGTCATATAACTTTCGTCCAACTTTCATGACCTGTTTAACCTTAATTACTTCCTTACTTCAAATATAGCTGTGCTGAGTGTTAGACTACTTTCAATATGTGAATTTGGAGAGAAAACAAACTTTCAGTTCCATCACCTGCAATAATCAAACCAGTGTGACACGGGCAAAAAAGTACACATATAGAGCATTGAAATATAATCAAGAGCACAGAAATAAACTCTTTATATATGGTAAAATTTATTTTGACAAAAGTTTTAAGACCATTCAATGTGCAAAGTATAGTCTCTTTAACAAATGGTGCTAAAAAAATGGATCTCCACATGAAAAGAATGAAGGAAGACCCTTGCTTTACACCATATACAAAAATTATCTTAAAATACACTAGACCTAAATACAAAAGCTAAAAGTATTGAATATTTAAAAGAAAATATAGGGAAAAATCTTCACAGCATTAGATGAGTTGGCAGTGATTTCTGAAATATGCCACCCACACGATAGGCCACAAAAGAAAACAATGGGAAATTTTACTTCATCAAAATTGAAAACCTTTTTGCATGAAGGAATACTATCAACAATGT